TGCAGGCATAGAGCAGGAGTTTATGGAGTAACAAACTTGGAACTGAGTAGATTAAGCAGCTAGGATTTGTTTTTCAGGGAAAGCAAAAAAGAAGAAAAGAGGGAACATCTATCCCAATAAGTTGAATCTATTGTTCAGAGCCTAACTCTGGTCTCAAGTTTCAGATGCCTTAAGACCTTCATTGTCTTCAGGTCTAGTCTAGAGTTAACTTGTTTCCACTCTAAATGTGGAGTAAAATATGTAAAAAAGTCCTTTCTTGGCCACTGCTGTTTTGCGTGGATTATTTATACTAAATCTTCCATTACATAATGATCTCTACACATTCACCTTATCCTTCATATGTATTTAGATACCATACTGTACTTCTCTGACAGTTGATGGTTTTGTCTTATGTAAATGTATGTGCTTCTCATTAGAAGAAGAGAGAGCCAAAGATAAAACATTCTGGTTTTGTTGGTTAGAAACATGTGCTGTGTTGCAAAAAATTCACTCTAATGGTTTTAATTTCATCTTAATCATAAAAGCATATGACATTTTGAGTAGCATTGGTATTTAGACCACTTTTAGGAAGAGAAGTCATCTCTCCTATAAGGAAAGGTTGGGGGAACTGGGCTTGTTTGGCCTGAAGAAGAGAAGGCTGCAGGGAGACCTCATTGTGGCCTTCCAGTACTTGAAGGGAGTGCATAAACAGGAGGGGGAATGGCTGTTTACAAGGGTGGATGGTGATAGGACAAAGGGGAATGGTTTTAAACTCAGGGGAGGTTGAGGTTGGCTATTAGGAGGCAGTTTTTCCCACAGAGGGTGGTGAGGCACTGGCACAGGCTGTCCAAGGAGGCTGTGGATGCCCCATCCCTGCAGGCATTCAAGGCCAGGCTGGATGTGGCTCTGGGCAGCCTGGGCTGCTGGTTGGTGACCTGCACACAGCAGGGGGGTGGAACTGGATGAGCATTGTGCTCCTTTGCAACCCAGGCCATTCTGTGATTCTATGCAGACCACCCTGAGCACAGTTTTGGAGCTAATCAGTGACTGATGACATGCAGAGATCAGAGAGGATATAATCCCTTAAGAGGCATAATTTGTTAGAACATAGATTGATGAATCCAGTGGTGAGGTAGAGGGCACAACTGAATAACCACTGGAGAGGGAAACGATTGTTCACCCACTGAATTTTTCTACTTCTAGTGCAGGAAGATTTGCACTCCTTATAGCCCATCAGCCATAGGCAATATTCTATTGCTGCATAATGGTAATCTGATTCTGGTATACATTTTAAAATCAGTCTTCAATAACACAGTCATGCCTAGGCCTGGCCCAAGCAGAGGCTGACTAAGGCTACATAGAAAAGAGCATTGCTTACGAAGCACATAATGCTGCTGGCCCATGAAACATCATCTCTAACACCAGTGTATTTCAAGTGCTGTTTTAGCAGTTTCTAAGCACCTGTGTATTCCTGCTACAAACTGTCCATGTTAAAGGAAATGTCTCATTTACAGGATACACATAAACCACAGAGTCTTCCTTGCTTTCTCCTAAAGACAACTTTTTCCTTTAGGAATGAAGTTCATCTTCAGAGGAACAGGACACAGAGGAAGTGACTGTCTTTGCACTACAGCTGTGAGCATCAGTAGGTGCCTCCTGAAGAGTAATAGAAAGTCGGAGCCTTGGCAGTAGCTTACAGGCACGAGTCTGCAATTCTAGAGAGTTATTCGGAATTACCACCAGCCTTAGTGTAATAACAGAGCACTGGGATCTCAGCATCACAGTGGGCTTAGCTGAGGAATTGCAGGTATCCACCTTGTATTCCTCTATTCTCCCTTTTTTCCTCTCTGGATTTTGAACATCTTAGCACAGAGGAAGACTGAGACTTACCAAACTAGGTAATTCTAAGTATGGACTCTGTTCCTGATGATATCTAAACCTTGATAAAGGACTCTTAAAAGCAACGAATGTGGCACTGTGGAAGACTATGAAATGAGTGTCAGAGGTTTCTCTTTTCCAACCCCCTGATTTTAACACAGTCATAAACATGGCTGATGTTCTGAATATCCAGAATTATGTTACCAAAGCTATTCTTTAAGAAATGTCCCAGAATACTTTAATCCTGATGGACTTTCATCTGATGACAGCCTAGCCAGTTACATTATGGGACTGCTTTGATTTAGAGCTGCTGCTTGAGAATCAAGGCAGTCCAGTAAGTTAGAGTGTGTTGTCCAAGAGATGGGGGGAGTTATGTTCTCCTTTCAGTCTAAAGGATTGGTTTGTGTTACTTTGCACTTTGTAGTGGCTAGAAGTGTAGCAGGCTAGAAAATGACTTCTTGAAAGCAAATGCAAGCAATCTGATTCATTTTAAGTGGACTGAGGAAAGATGAGAGGCATTTTGTCAAATTCTACTTACGTCCCATTGTATCTACGTTGTACAGAAATCTATATTGTCATATACTTTAATCACTTTAATTATTAATACCAGATTGCTAAATTCTGGGGATACATGATAACTTCTCTCTGGGGAGCAGAATTCCCAATTGTATTCCTGCAGTGGTAATTGTATGTTAAGATCTATTTTGCACAGTGTCATTATTGGACTTTTTCAATAAATTTGATTGGTTCCAGTTAGATCAGTGATTTAAATCTATTATACGCTGTCTTTCCTTTTAAGCAAAAAAAAAAATTAAGCAGTCAGTCTTATCTGTCATTTTCTGTAAATCTCCCATCCCCTTTTCCCCAGCCAAGTGCTCTAGTGGATGTTCTTGGATTGTTATAATCTTTTATAGTATTCTCACATTCTGTTCTCTAAGACATAATAAGAGATTTGTTCCAGGCCATTCATCAAAAGTGTAGCAACTCCATCAGTTACCAGCGATAAACATCAGTATTCTGCAACTGAATGTACCAAGCAGATGATCGTAGGCTCAAGTCTCATGGATTACAAGAGTTTAGTCCAACACACTTGTACTCTCACATGGCTGAAATAATCCTCAGGATATGAGGAGGCTGGAGCTCAAAGTTGTTGTTATCGCTGTGTGGCTGTGGTAGCGCTGTGTTTGAAATCATATTAGAATGAATCAACTGAGAGATATTTTAGAGAGGACTGCTTTAACAAGAAATAAAACATACATGCCCATTCGTCATGTATGAATGTGTAAATGCATTCACGTACAGGTACTTCTATGATTTATTTTGCTCTTAGAAGAGCAGACCATACACTGTATTTTCAAGTATATTATACCACTGCATGTGGGATAAGCATTTGCTTTTCAACAAATGTTTTCAGGCGTGTTTTTGTTCAAAACATCCTGACAAATACAGCAAACAGTAGTGTTTCATCAGCAATATATATATATTGCTGTCTGCCTGCTGCTCCTCCCTTCACTCCTGTTATCTTGATGAAGTTGTTGTTCAGAAGAACCTAGCCTTCATTTCTTCCATGACAGAAAAAACTGCTCGCACAACAAGCAGCAGCCTGAAAAACTATGGTTCACGCCTTGACCTTGAGACTTCCTGAGCCGGTTTGGATTGGCTCTCCCCTTGAAACAACAGGCTTCCACAGGAAGTTCATAAATGGACCCAAGTCACAGCAATTTACGTAGTTTTAATATTTTTAACTTGGTTCTACAAGATCTACCCAAAATGGGCGGTGTTTCATGGACACAAAGAACTGGCCAATTTTTCCAAGACAAAACATCAGTGAGCTGGGCTCGATGCAAACCTTTAAATGAGTGTGACTAATAGAGTGTCAGACCCTGCTAAGGCAGCTTCTGCCAGGTACCGCTTGGGGACGTGGCAGTGTGTTGTGAAGCTGCTCTGTACTCCATGTTCCAGTGCCAGCACCACTGGCATTCCCAGCACTGGAGGCAACCCACATTCCAAAGAGCTAAACCACAGGTCTGCATCCCAAACTCCCCACCTTCAGGCACATGTACTCCTCCCTTCCTCCAATTCTTGCCTCACAGAAAGACGAAGTGCAGTACATCACTCTTGACTTTCAAACAGTCTGCAAGACTCTGATTTAGACGTTTTAAAGACAGTTCTTTCACTCCTCAAGTCTGAAATATCTTTAAAAGATCTTCATCTTCTTCACACATGCTAACAAAATGTGACTGCATTAAAAGACACTGCTTTTCATTCATTTGCTCTGCACCTTGTTTTCTACCTGTTATCGTGAGCTTAATGGAAAATACCATTCTTACTCACATCTCTGCGCTCCAATGATTATATGCTATAATCTGTCAGTAGGAACATAATGACGGAATGTTAACTCAACAGTCTTGAGTGCATTACCCCTATGTAACTATGAAAAGAAGTAGTTTTGAAATATTTTCTTGTTTGTAAATAAACTAATGGCATGGAGAAAGACTATTATTCATGCTAGCTATGCATATGATTTTAGAAGGAGTTATTTAATTTGTTCAGAAATCTTCAGCTCTATCAAACGTCCATAGTGACAGGCTTTAAGGCAACTTATAAAATTAATTGTATAGCCTAACTTTTTCATGGTTTGGGATTTTCTGGTCTATACTTAACTGATGCACCTTGAAAGACAAATTATATATATGAAAATAAATTCATGCACATACTGTTGCTTTGAGGAATAAAATGATGCAGGCAAATATGCACTTTTTTTTCCATTCCGTTAAGCAGTCAGAAGCATTTCTTACTAAAGAACAAAGCATGTTTCACCCCCATCCTTCCACACCCAAGAAAGCCACAGAAAGCAGATTCATTGGACAAACCAGATATTTTAAAATGTTCTTTGGCTGTAGTTACAAACCATAGGATCTAGACCTACTGGTATTCCTGGCATGCATTTACAATGTATAGAGTTAATTTGATGTCTGTTTTTTCCTCTGGTAAAGGTTTATTTTGTTTTCTTCCAATATTGCTTTTCAACATTTTCTGTGAGGAATATGAGGCAAGCAACATGGAGGATCTGCCTACAGTAAGGGATGCCTTGCTTCTTTGGCCAAGACTAGCAGGTCTTACATAATAATTTATTACAGTACCTTTCTGTTTCCTGGTCCATGGTTTGCTGCTTGTTCTCAAAGCCAGTGAAGCTGCTCATATCCACATAGCCGTCATTCTCATTAGCAGCAGATAATGCCCTGCTGGGATCTTCAAAAAACTCAGTGAAAGTTCCTGCTCTGGTGGATCTTCGAGGAGGAATCTGTATATTTTCATAGTCAGAGTTCATAGCTGGAATGTTCTCATATTCGGAAGTGTCAGCATTGGGAAAAGAAATTGATCTAGGCTTTGTTAATGGCAGTGGCATGAAAGGAGGTCTGGACCGGTCCTCAAAGGATTCCACCCGTGACACGCTCCTGCTGAAGGACTTGGGTGTTCCTTTTCTCTTACCATCCTTATAGAAAAGAACAGTTGAGGGAGACTCAGACGCACGGAGCTTCCCCACATGTGACTTCAGTTGAGGTGAGCTACTCAGAGTCCTGTCCAGCTCCATCAGCCTTGGAGGCCCATGATAACTGGACTCTGATGAGGACCTCGAAGAAGAAACATTAACATCTACATGGATTTTACTTTCAGTTTTCTTCTTGAATTTTAGAGTGAGGAATCTCTTAAAGGAAGATTTCTTTTTCTTGGAATACTTATCAGGTGACTCACTCTCTATCAAAAGCGAAGGGGAGCTTTTAGTGATTGGCTTTTTGGTGATGTAAGCAAGTTCAAAAGGAGGTGGTATATCGACAACTGAGGATGGAGTAGATACAGCGCCTGACGAAAGATTTCCTGGGGAAAAGATATGTGAGGAACCATTGACACAAGGCAAAGATAAGTTGTCTTCTGTCTTTTTCATTCTAATATCGCTGAGTACACAGCCATCACCCTCTTTGTAAATGGAGACAGGTATCTCTCTCCCTTCAACGGAATAAGACCGAGGATATAAAATAAAGCGTCTTGGCTTGGATTGTAATGCCTTGTTGTCTTCCACTGTTTTTCCTTCCACTGAAAATGAATTATTGCTTAAGTCTTCAGTCCCAGAACTGTTGCAGGAAGGTGGTAAATCGCTTTCAGGACCACCTTCTTCTGGAACTGTTTCTGGCACATAGCCTGGCATTTTCCCAGAAAGTGACCGTGTTCTAGTGACAATGCTTTTACGATCAATGGGCAGTAAGTTGCTTTCACCATCCATGCCTAACTCATCCCTTTTACTGTGATCAGCTCCTGAATCAGTCTGCCCTTTATGAGTGAATTCGTTTTCTGCAGGAAGTACATAAGGGTCATCTAGGGAATCACTGCCAGTTTCTCTTCTCTCTGATTCTTCAGGCACAATGACTACTTCAGGGAGTACTAGATTTTCATGCAAGACATTTCTGGTCCCATGTTCTACATTCATTTTATCATGCTGACAGACTTCTATCTCTCCCTTATGTGGGACTAATTGTGTTGGACTTAGGACACTTTTGCTGAGACTATCTGTTTCTGCCTCATTTCCTTCAAGTTGCAACTCATCTGACTTAGAGGCTTCTGCAATGCTTTCATTATGTTCTTCAGCAGACATGTCTTCCAGCTTTGGCTCCATCCCTGGACCACTAGGGAGGGTATCAGAGATCTGACCATCTTCTTTTGGACAGGTCTCTTCTGTTTGCAGATTTGTGGGTACTTCCTCACCATCATCATTCTCAAAAGGAGCAATTTGACACCCATCATCAGTACTCTCCGCATTCACAGTTTCTTCCTCTCCTTTTCCAAAGTCTTCGCCTGCTTCACAGGCTACCTCTGATGTCTCCTCACCTCTCAGGTCAGTGATCTGGCAGTCATCACTGGCATTTCCTATGTTTGTATTATTGTGTTTGTCTGTGTCTGCTTCCTCCTCTTCAGCTGCTGCTGGATGAGTGGAATCTCCCAGATCATTTTCAGCACTGGGTTCACCTTCAGGCAATTCTAAGCACAGAACTGTTTTCTCACTGGCTTCATTGTGCAGCATGTCAGGACTTGTACAGTCATCATTTTCTAACTCCTCTTCCATGTTCAAATCAAGCTCTGCATACACACTATGATCACCATCATGTGCTGGACATCTATCTCCCTTTCTTAAAATCTCAGGCACTTCTTCTTCCTCCTCTGACTTCTCCAAACTTGGGATTAATTCAGCTGCAGTTAGTGGTGTTAGAATGATATCTTCACAGACATTGCCCTCATCTCCATTCAAAATGTTATCACCATCAGTCTTATCATCATTGTCCTCAACCAATTTGAGATTGTTAGAAATTTCTTCCTTGCTTTTGGTTTCACTACAATCACCTGCAACATTCTCACCTTCATCTACATTCTTGGATACGTCATTATTCCCACCAGTGGCATCAGAGGGCTCTTCACAGAATGCTTCAGATTGGCTACAGTCTCTGGTTGATGATACACAGTCTGGTTTTATTGGTTCAGCAATATCTGAAAAGTTACGGTGCTCAATTTCTTGATGGTCAGCATCCGCATGATAAGGAATGTTATCTTCTTCCTTCTCTGCTGCTTCTGGAATTTCCAAGATTTCATTGTCTGCAAAAGAATCTAGGCTCTGATCATGCCCATGTTCCAAGTCATTGCAGTCTTCAATGGTCAGCTGAGTTTCAGGAAGTACAGTGTATTCATTATCCGCCTCAGATTCTGGGCACTCAGCACTGCATTGATTTCCATCATACAACTCTCCGTCAAGACAGAGAAGTTTACAATTTGAGCATTTATTTAAATTATTGTTGGCATTAACACTGGATCTGCTCTCTGTGTCAGTAGAGAGTTTTGGCTTGGGAGCAATAGGTGGTTTGGGACCCCTAGACATAGAATTTGGGTTATGAAGAATATCAGACCTTGGCAGTGAAGGAGAAAATTTGGAGATGGCTACTGGAGAAAGATGACCAATAATTTTTGGTTTCGGTGCTAGTGGTGGCTTTGTGATTTCTGGAGAAGAGAGAGAAAAGTCATATTAGTCATCTTGGTCTCTTATTAAAGCCACCAGAGCATACTCTACAGTAGACTTTTATCTTATACCAGTTACTTGTAAAGTGCAACAAGTCCAGACAATAAAAGACGCGTCTTTGAAAAGAGAACTCTGCAGCAGAGCATAAGTACTGTGCTTCCATGTGACACTGCAGCTATTCCAGGGAACATGGTTTAACGTCACAGCTGAAATGAAACGAAAGCATAGCGGCAAAGAAAAGAGGTGTAGAGCTGCAGAGCCAAAGATATATCATTTAAGATGGGTAGCATGGACACTTTCCTGTGCAACCTGCTCTGGAAAACCTGTTTTAGCAGAGGAGTTGGACTAGATGATTTCTAGATGTCCATTCCAACCCCTATGATTTTGTGATTCTGTGAAGACTGAAAACATGCTAGCTCTCCCTCACTGTTTTTAAGACAACTTAACAGTCATATATGAACACTGGACTCACAGTACACTTTATATACTACAGGTATTTCGAGCTGATCCTTGGTCCTGAAATTAATATTCTTTACATAACTAAATGAAATGCTGAAAAGGTGCATAAATAGGCAACAATAAGAATTCTCAATTATGAGATTTTAGATGAAATAAAATACGCAGTGTGAAGAAGCAAAAATACGGAATGATTCCAAATGCCGATAAAAAGAAGGTTTCTATTCTTACTAATGTTTTCTAGCCATCAATTGGTAATTACATGAATAATCAAACAGAAATCTCTATTTATTATTTTATTTTTTTATTTAAATTAACACTCATTGGTGGAGTAAAGGGAAGATCTCCATTGTAAGGAAAACCACGTGACAGGACAACGTGCCATGAGAGACAGGAACAATTCTTTGTGCAAAGTCATCATGGCCTATACACAGGGAATGAGGGGCAGGATCTCAACTCAGGAGATGCCATTTGGGATATGGCCCATGTGGATGTTTGATTAGGTCTTGAGAGATGTACGAGACCTTTTTTTTTTTCTCCTTGATCTTTCTAAACCTGCTGAAATTTCCTCCAATACAACAATGCTCACAATTTGGCACTCTGGTTTACTCTGAAAACAGTGTTTCTACAATTATGAGACACAAAAGAGAATTCACTTAAGTTAAAACTGAGCTAATGATCTCAGATCAGCCCAAAGGAACGAGAAGTCTGCTCTCATGAAGCAGCTTTAACATAAACTGTTAGAATTATTCTGCGTATGGGAAATATCTGACCTAGGTTCATCTGTGCTGTACACAAATGCAGAGCTAATAATCACTACTGCTCAACATACAAGCATACAAATTATGAAGCTGGTCAACTACTGCTATCTATAAGATTACAAACAGAAAATAATACAGTTTGTCACTTATTTTGACTAGTAGCGTGCCAGTCTTGTATGCAAACATTTACTTACTAGATAAAGCACAACGTTGTCATTCTTAAGTATGCTGTTTTTTCTACAGGGTAAATAAAACTAGTGTTGGTGGTTGAACTGCAGCCAGCTTCATCAGGTATCTCTTCACATTTGCTCTCGGCTGGGAACTCTCCCACTGAGGGGAAAGATCTCCAGGAATGAAGTAAGAGAAGGGTGGAGAACATCAGTGTATGGCTGGAGAAAGGCCATTCAGCACCCTGTGATGTACTTAACAGGAGTGAGTTTAAAAGATATTGGCTAGTTAAACTGCACTGAAAGTACAGGTGCTGAATGCTAAACAACTGAGGAATTTGATTTTATTATGAACTTGTTGAGTATACAAAAAAAAGCAGTTTTTTCATAGCATAAGAGAAAATGATTTTACAGCATACTGTGCACTCATTAAATATACCTTGGTTTTGGAGATGTTGCAAAGGAATTACAGAAGTTAGAGAGTTTTTGAAGACTGCTAAGGTATCTGATATATAGGAATTAGGTAAAATGGCAGTACTAGATGTCTTTGCTGAATTTGCTGAAGCATTTGTATTTTCCAATGTCCAGTATATGCTAAGAACCTTTGACACAGAACAAGCAACATGCAGGTTGTGCTGAGCACAAAAGGAGGTGTGCTTTGACAGATCTGCTTTTGTTATTTGCACCTTCGCTTTCAGCTTGTCGTGAACATCTACAACCTGTGTGCTGATCAAACAGTTTAGGCTCTAGAAATAGATGTCATCATAGTTTTAACCTGGAAAGGAATAGCTTCGCACTATCAATTAACTTTTGGGAATAGCCAAGCCAATTTTTCTAGTTCCAGGTAGTGATCACACCAGTAGTTCTGTACGGTCTTTCAGAAATCATCCTTTGTAGCACAAGATCCCTTCAGGAATGTAGACACCCTAAAAAGCCCTTGTGTTCTGCAGACCCTCGACAAGCACAGGATGGCCTGCTGTTCCTCCTTTGATTCTCTAACAGCAGCCAAGCCTCAGTCTATGACATAGGATTAGGAAAAAAAAAAAAAAAGGTGAACAAATTCACAAATGAGACTTCTTGTATTTCTGCTGCTCAAAGCTGTGAATCCTGAAAACATCAGTATGTGAGCTGACCTGCAGAGATAGGAGGTATGCAGATCATTGGCTTTGAATAACTTGGTTCATGCACAGAAAGAGGAAATAGAAGATTTAAAGCAACTTGTGGGAAAGGGGGGAGAAAGAACTGCATATTCACCGGTCTGCAGAACAGCAGCGTGTCCTCTTGTTCCACAGCATCCATTGCTGCTTTGAGCTGCAGGGCACATGTCTTATTGACATCACAGAATGAAGAAGCTAATCATTCTCTCCGGATCACTTCAGAAACGTGATGCGCCAAGCACTTAACTGTTACTGAAGTGCCATTGCTTTTGTTGCACCATAATTAAATCTGCAGTAATTCAAATCTGCAGAGTAATGAAAGCTGTTACCAGTTACAAACAGGAAGTGAATAGGGTGACTTGAGTATCTTGTAAGCCTGTCTCCCCAGCCAAGCCTGCACATGGCCTTTTTAAGTCAGTTGTTGCAATGACTGAGCATCCTAAACTAATTTTCTGGTAGTAAACAGATGGTAGCATGAGATTTTACCAGCTATAGCAGAGTCTTCACAAGAAATCAGCACTAGAACCTTTAACACCCTAATGAGGCGTTTCTTAGGACTTCTCCAAAGAACATGGCTTTGAAGGTATTATAACATTTTCTTCAGTGTCTGGCTTTTCCCAGGAATGTCTATCTAAAAGTAGGACACAAACATACCTACTTTGTTCCTGGGATGTGACAAGGCTGAGCACTCTGGTCATTCTCATCCTTGTTACTATTAGTGCCTGTACTGAAAGACTGTGCACGGAGAAAAAGACTGGCTTATGGAGAATGCCTGGATATTTAAAGCTTTGGTTCATAAACCAACTTGACATAAAACAATGCAATGAACTCATTTTCTCTATGCAAAATAACCATGAGCACATCCTCTTTATATATCTATATATATAGCTTGAATTCAGTTACCCAATTTCCCTCCAGTGGTAAATTTGTGGCAGAATCAAGTGATCTTGAACTTTTCTACACGCTACCTTCAGTAACACTGCACAGGGAATAAATTATGGTAGTGGACCCTGTTCAAAGTGTAACAGTGGGCACTGTGGTGTCCTACTCTTTTCCTCTGTGCCAACTATTGCCCCTTTGGATTTCTTTGACACTTTTTCCTAGCTGCTCATTGTGCTGACCTTGTCTTTCATGGAGGCTTCTTAAACAATTTCGCCTGATGGGTGTGTGTGTATGTGTGTGTATACAAGTGTTTTAAGTAAACTCTTGTATAACAATTACTGAAAAGAAAGCAGATCTGTCAAGCACAATGGATCTCTGTGCACCTTTTATCACAATGATTCGCTCTGATTCAATTTCTGCTTCCTCTGGTGTCTGAAGCATTTAAGAGGCTGTAACTTCTAAATGGGCAAAAAACAACACTGCACCATAAGAAATGTGTATGTTAACAAATAATTGTGCATGTTTATTTTAGGATGCATTTTATATTGGAGGGAGGCACACCCACTTTGTGCTTACAAGGAAACTCTTGGGGAATAGGAATTTCTTTAGCCTGCTCCTCCCCTTATTGTTCAATGCTTCCTTGTACTGACAAGGACAGCTTCCTCTCCTTCAGGCAAACTTGCATTCCAGCTTGGTTTTGTTCCTGACATGGCCCAAATAAAACTACTCTGCTCTCTGCTCCTGTCCTCTTCACATTTGAGTTTCTAAGCAGTGAACGTAGCAGTTCTGGAATAACAACCAACCCACACAGCCTTCACTGTTCAAATGATTATTTGAAACAACAGACATTCTGAGGTGGAGTTTGCCTAAAACACTACAACCACCCGCTTTCAGATGTAAGTTAGATATAGGAATTAGCCTAGAATTTAATTTAGGCATATAAGGGACTATATATACCTACACCCCTGCCCCATTAAGCAGCTGGTTTGAGGTGAAAACTTAAAACACTAAGATTTTGCAGTTGCAGGAGCTTCTGCAGATTTGTCCCAGGCCTGTGGTCTTGGGACAGTGGCCCAAGAAATGGGCTCCATAATTTAGATATACCAGTTCAAGCTTTGAATGGCATCACAGTTGAGTTCAGGCATCTCTTATGCTGCCAAAAGTAGCTTTTTTCAAAAACCTGTGTAGACCTATGCTTTGTTCACTCCTTCATCATTAATTCAGTTCAGATTTATGTCAAAATTGGAGAGATGTTGAGAAAAGAGAGCAGAAATGTGTTTAGATGAAAGCGACCATGCAGATAGACCACACTGCAACAGTGGCATGAGACAGCACCAGAACTAGAATTCCACTGGAAGCCAGTGCACACGAGGCCTGATTCTCATTGCTCCTGCTACAAAGAGCTTCAAATCTATAAATGGAAAGTGCCTGAGAAACAGGAGGTAGACGAAGAATATCCAGACAATTCAATAGGAAAGTCTAATTCGGCTCTATAATGATATTCAGTTATATCAGAATAAAGGTGAAAATTGCCTTCCAGAAAGCTTTAGTCTCAAGAAAGTTAGAAATTGAATACTTCTATCCTTCCTATCCTCCTTATCTTATTCCCATAATGAATAGGAGATTTTTAAAATAAAGCCCTTATTTCCCCATTAGTGCTTTCTGGCTCCTATCTCCAGCTTCTATCTCCAGCATTTATTGTTGTTTCCTCCACTGAGATTAAAGACTCTTTTATTATTCAGTATTTTTCTAGGGAAAATATATAGTTTCCTACAGCCATGCGTCTCAACAATTTTATTTCTGGTAAACTGTACAGATGAACTCATTAAATCTTCACAATGGGACAATTTCTCTTTTCATTAAGTCTTTTGGGTTTTTTTTCTGAACGTTTTCCAATTATCCAGTGGCCCCTATAAAATATACAGTGCAGACCTGGGGAAAGAATTCCAGAGTGGCTACAGATGATGCTACCTACACATTTCAGTACTTCCTTAGACTCAGTTCTCACTGTTCTCTGTAGCTTATTAATGTATCAGGTTGACTTGCTTCTCCATTATGACTTCTCAATTGCTCCCAAGGCTATTGTTTTCCCTGTTCGTTGTCACTGAACTGATAGCTTTATAATATACATTAAGTGTAATTTGTTTGAACGGATTCAAGTTAATGACCGCCATCTGTTTATACAACCGCTCTGCCTGCATTGTTAATTACCCTTTACCAACTTTTGCATCATAAACTTCGTCATCTGATACTCTTCTGTTTCCTTTCCTACCATGAAAATACTGAACAATATCAGCCCATCACCGCCCCCTGCATTTTACACGCCGCTATTTGATAATGATGCGGAGATAAGTACTGCAGAGATTCACAACTGCCAGTTAGCCTTCAGACAAAACAACCCAGACTGTGTTCTTGTTACAGAAACGCTTCTCCCTAAAATCTGAGCGCGCTACTAAAAATACTGTGCAGGCATCAGCGTTTGTTCCTGCATCAATTCAGTTGCCTTTGTCAAGTCTGTAACTTCTTCCAAAGATGAGGATCAAATTCCTCACTAGAAGTCCTGCTATTGAGGAAATGAGAATATGCAAAGCTAAGAGTAGCAGTAAATACAGGAATTCATTTACATCTTACTTGCCGAAGCACTGTTATGGACATAAAAAATGGCTCGGATCAGAAAAGATACAAGTTCTTTCATGGCAGCACTCCTACTTTGTGCACCAGACACATGTATGAAACAGCAAAGAAAGAACTTAGCCTGTATCAGCTGCCATCATATTCACTCTCTCACATCAGAGAATGGCATTAATAAGAGCTCATACTATGTACAAAAGCCACATGCACCAAGCACTACACAAATCCAGGAGATAAAGGAAACAAACCAGCTGCTCTGTGCAACCATAGAAAGAAGTTTCCATATATCAGCCACCAAAACAATACTATGTTCTTGCAAAGCAAGACAAGGAAGAAATTATTTACCTGTGTCTATTTCAGTTTGACTAATGCATGGTCTTATATATTCACCATGGTCCCTACTCCTTAGAGAAGGAATTGTTCTGAGAATAAATTAATCAAAATAACAAATGGAGTTTCACTGTAAGTGAAATGGGCAGCTTTTCTTTCAGATGAAGGGCTGGCTTTGGACCTGGGCAGAACATGGGCACGAGCCACCACAGTAACTGCCAGCACTGTAAGTCAAGCTAAGCACACTGTCTTTCATTTCCATATAGAAAGCTGTATGTTCCAACCTGTAATTACAATTCTGCCAGCTGTTTGAATCAGACAGCGAGGATGTATTTAAATTGCTGATGTTGACAGGCCATTTTAATGCCATTCTGAATTGAGTAAAGTACCCAATATAAGCTGTGTAATCTGCCTCAGTATCTTGGAGATGAAATAGATGAGAGAGCATGATTTAAAAGGAAAGTATAATCCCTTTGAGGGATCCAAATAATAAAACACCAGTGTTGTCACTGGTGAACCCCAGGATGTACTGTAAATAACTGAGATTTCACAGCAAAAATATTTCTCTTTGTTTTATAGTGTGCGAATCCATCATTTATTTCACACAGTCAGAGGAAAATAAAAGGTTTAAAACGACAACAGTTACATAAGAAATGAAAACAGTGGCAAAGGAGTCACTTGAAATGCAAAACATATTTAGACTTGGATTTTCTAACAAGGGAGGAGTGCAAGTCTCCCCTTCAAACAGGACCTAGGTCTATATTTAGGCATCAGCTCTCCCTTTACTTGAGCTGAACAGTTTGGTTTTTTTAGCATTGGGACTTAAGGAACTTCAGGTCTTACCTCGTGTTCAAAGCCAGCAGGTTAAGGGTTCCTAAATGCCTCAGTCATTTATGAAATTGGGATTTGAGCTTCTTCACAGTTCTGGTACTTTTGCAAAACGTCTGTGTTTTATCAGTGTTTATCAGTGTACATCCTTCAAATTTGTGATCAAAAGCCCTCTGTATACATCAAGGTTTCACTAGCATGGAGTCAGACTCATAGTAACAACCATCCCATGGGAATTTTGTCCCCTTACAAATCCTAACTAAAATACTGACAGCTGGCTTGTCAGAACGCATTCCACCCAGCGGAAATACAGCGCCGTACTGTACAGTTATTGGAATCCATCCACTATCATTAGATCAATACATGGAGACTCTGAGCTGTCGGGTCAGTAGTTTACAATTTTTTTCTTTAGCTTTATGACAGCCATCTGTAGATATAATACAGTAGCATAACATCACACAGGGAAACTATTGGGGAAAGGGAAAAAGACAATATAATCAGAAAAGGATGAGTTTCAGCACCAAATATCTCAATCCTGCAAATTCACACATTCTCTGGCATTTTCACTGTCTCTAAGCAGACTGTACATACAAGTCTTAGGTAGGATGCCAGTGCTGTCTGTGAAAAACCCCACATGTGTGACAATTACATTATTTTGATTCTAAGATACTAGCATATTTTTTTTTAGTGGAACTGCAAACATTTGTGATGTTTCCACTTGGCTGTGATTTCACAATATGAAGCTTATACTGCAGCAGACAGCTTATAATCACTTGTTGTTTTATGAGAAGTTAAATTTTTTTGTACAGGTACATACAGCAGCTTTTCCTATATCAATCTCAGTAACAGCAGAAAGAATAGCTAGCCTGCTTATGCCTCTGAACATTTTGAAGTCAAACATCTGAACCTTCTTCCTTTGGGCAGCATCTATTCAGCACCCAGGAAACAAATTGATACTGAGAGCCTGGTAGGTTCTGCCTGTGAGGCTGTGAGATGGGGGGTCTGTCTCTTGTCTCTTACCACAGATTTCCTGCAACCTTGCTGGACTGCTTCATCTTTCTTTTCACATCAGTTTTGCATCTCTGAGGATAATCCATGCTTCCCTTCCTGTTTTCTGTTTGCCTTTATTTCAACTTCTGCGAGATCAAAGCTGCCTTATATGCCTTCACATATGACTCTGCTTACTGGTGCTCTGTGTTACTATAATACAGAGCTCACCAGCACTGGTCCCTGAGTTCTGCCAGCTAATAAACACTTCAGATTCAGTAGGAAGTTCTGCTTTGCACTGATGGGAGAGACATTCCTTGCATTGTGTGAATATACAAAACAAAGGCTGAGAAGGGATATGAGCACTCTCTATAAATACAACCTGGAGGTAAACACCAGAGGAGGAAAAGAACTATTTTAAGGAAAGAGACAATGTAATCCCAAGAATAAATGGCTGTGAATCTGGTTAGGAAACTAGAAGGACTAGGCAGAGTAAGAGGTTCTCAGCTTCCTGGAGGAGTAGCAGGTAGGCTACCTAAAATGATTTAATTTGATGCAATGATAAAAGGAGTAATGTGGCCTTGTGATCTGTAACAATGGATATTGCTTTTAATAATGACGTAGTAACATTCAGCCCTATACTCCAAAGAAAGAAAACTGCTAATAAAATTTCAGTTTACAACTGAACAACCTGATATTCCTTGCACTGCTCACCCCTGAGATCAAGACAAGATGAGAGCTGCTTCTTTTAATATAACAGAGAGATGGAGAAAGAGTGGTTGGAGAATCACAGCTAAGACGATTTTGGCTGACTTGCTTAAACCTCAGATGAGTTCATCTTCTTAGGATGGACTGAGTTCAGTCCAGACAGAATCAGGAAACAGAACAGAAACGTCAGCACCTTTCAGACAGGAGAGTGTCCCACTCCCGATTGAAAGGGGAACAAGAGTCTTCCTATATAAACTCAGAGCAGCAGTATGACATGCTGATACAACTGCAGAGGATTGAGTTTGTGCCTAAACAATCCTTTCTAGTGCTGTATACCTGCGCTGTGGCAAACAGTGCTTCACAGTTTCCCGACATACGACAGTGGTAAGGTAAAGCGCCTAGCAGTAATATCTCTGGACCTAAGGTTACATCTGTGCAAGTGAAGTGCCCAGCAACAGTCCCTCTCAGGAACAAGGAAACATGGTGAAACAATTTAAGGCTAAAACAAAAAGTGACTATTTCTCCTCATCTCTACCTCTACACAACGTTAGATTTTTCTAACAAGTTCTATAGTTAGCAGTAATGGTTTCCCAGACTGTTAGATTTTTTTACATGCATGCCTCATCCCTGAAAACCAGAAAGAGTTAGTAGAGAATGTAGAGCTTGCCCCAGTTTTCTAGTGATTTCTTTTAATGGTTATCTGTTGATGGTCTTGCTTTAGCAGTTGTTCCCTTCTGATCCTGTCTCTCACCTTTCCAGTTTCTATCAGGGAAACAATCTCGGAAATTAAGAGAAAGAGGAAAGGACTGGGCTTGCCTCAGAGAGAAAATTGCACAGAAATAAACCCACCAAAACACGCAAACAAACGAAAAAAAAAAAACAACAAAAAAACAACCAATATCTCCCCAAAATCCAATTACCAAAGGAAAGCAGCAGAAAATTTCCGAGAGGCATTGTGAAGGACTGAGCGTGTCCGAGGGAGAACGGGCACAGCGCCACTTCCCTCGGCAAGCACAGCCCTCCCCCCGGCCCCTGCCCCTCCACGGCTCGCGGCCACCCTGGCGGAGCCGGTAAAGGGCACCGACAGCCCGGGGCGCGCCGTGTCTCGCGGGGAGCCGGAGGAGCATCCACCGAAGAGCAGGGAAGCGGAGGGCCGGCCCTGGACGCAGGGAGCCTTCCCGGGGGATGCCATCCCGGAGGCAGAGCCTCAGAGGAATGCCGTCCAGCCGGCGCCCGAGGGAAGGAGGGTCCCGGTACCATAGAAGGATGCCCGGCCCCAGGGAAAAGATGCCCGGACGCGGAGAGCCGTTCCTAAGGAGCCGCACGCTTACCGGTGTTGTTCATCTTCCACCCCAACTTCCCTCGCTGGCTGCCCCGGGCGCTCAGAGCATGGTCCCGGGGCCGTCACCGCCCTCGCTCCTCGCGAACGCGCCCGGCGCTAGAGCCCCTCTGGGGGCATGGGAGCGCGGGCGGGGCAGCTGGACCCGGCGCGGCGGGCTGGGCAGGCAGCACTGCCGGCTCGGGGGCGGTCAGCGCCGCGGCGCGCCTCCGCCCTGCCCCGCGTGCGGCCCGTCGAGGGGCGGCGGCCGGCGCCGGCGCCCCGCACGGCAGGCCGCGCGCGGGGATAGGCCAGGCGGGGCCATCCCCTGCGGCGGGACGAGCCCCTGGGTTACGCGGGGTGCGGGCGGGGGCGAGGGGCGCGGAGCTGATGCCGAAGGGCGCAATAATTTAAAGGCGCAGCGTGTTGTCCTCCTGCACTCCTTTCTTTTGCCCTCCCCTCTCCTCAATTTGGTGTTCTCCACCCCCTTTCCGTTCCCCACAACCCTTCTTTGTACACCCCTTCGCCCATTTTCCCTCCTCTCTTTCACTCTCCTTCCTTTTTTTCCCCCTTACCTCCCGCCCTCCCCCCTCACCCTCTCATCTCCCCACTTCCCTCCCTCCATTAGCTCCCTTTCTCCCCTCACTCCCATCCATCCATCCATCCATTTCCCCCCCCCTTCCCTTTTCCTTTCTCCCTCGTCAGCTTTTTCCTCCCATCTGTCTTTCCCTCTGACTCCCCCATTCCCCTCCCTTGGTTCCCCATGGGACAGGACCACCCCCACCTCGGAAAACTGGGGGAAGAAGGCTCAGAGAAGCCACCCCCAAATTACCCAATCTGGCCCCAGTGCAGGGGTTTTCCCCGGATTGAAGAGCACCCCTGGGAGCCAGCAGCACCTGCTGCTGAAGCACTTATCTAGGCGCAGAGGAGCCGATCCCTCACATACGAACCTTGCTTGCTCAGAGCAGTTTCAGACGGCACCAGGTGGTTGTCTTCTTCCCCTCTCCCATAGAACAGCTTCCAGCTCAATGAAATTAACAGTCATGCTGTGTCTGGGCAGTTCTCCCTGGTAAGCAGTGGTAACCCCCAGGAAAGCTTGGATTGCTCCTCTACTCTCAATAAGGGCTTGATATTGATATATCCTGTTACCCTTCCTACTGGTGCCATCATTGCTCGCACAAGAAAGTGTAATATTCCAAATTTCCCTCCTCTGGTAGAGAAACCCCAGGACGACTGGAGCTTTCTTCCCTTGTCAGGTAAGAGCCATTCCCCCACAGGTCAGGATGGATGCTTGGGGCCATTCCTGAGCCATGTATGCCAGCAAAGTACGCCTGCCTGGCATGTGTGTGAAACTGTAAGGTCCTGCTTTGACTTGCATTCCACAAAAATCAGGACTACTGCTAACACCATTTTAGATGCTGTTAACTTTACAAAATACCTAATAATTAATATCATTCTGCTACTAGATGTTCTATAGTATAGCCAAAGTTCTTGAGGGCTTGAGACTGTATTCAGGGATGACTGGTTCTGATGTCTAGGGGATCCTGGTTGTATTGCTACATCAGTCACTCGTGGAGTTCCACAGGGCTCCATTTTGGGGCCAGTTCTCTTTAACATTTTCATGAATGACTCAGATGTAAGAGAGTAAGCTGGTTTGAGCAGTTTGCTGACTACTAAATTAGAAGGAGCTGTTGTCTCTGTTGAAGGTGGAGAGGCCTTGCAAAGACCTCTAGACAAATTAAAGAACTAGGCAGTCACCAACCGTGTGAAGTTTAACGAGAGCAAACACCAGATTCTGCACCTGGGAAGGGGCAACCTTGGCTATACATACATACGATCTGAGTGATGGGATGCTGGAGAGCAGCCCCACTGAAAGGAATCTGGGGGTCTTGCTCAAAAACAAGTTGAACGTGAGTCAGCAGTGTGGCCAGGCAGCCAGGAGGGCCCGCCGTATCCTGGGGTGCATTGAGAACAGTACTGTTAGCTGGTTGAGGGATACGATTGTCTTGCTCTGCATTGCACTGGAGCCTCACCTCAAAACCGTGTGCCATTTTGGGTGCCACAGTACAAAAAGGACATTAAATTATTAGAGTGTCTAAAGGAGGGCTACAGAAATGGTGCAGAGTCCAGAGGGGAAGATATTTGAGGAGTGGCTGAAGTCCCTCTGTTTGTTCAGCCCAGAGAGGATACTAAAGGGAGACCTCAGTCAATCCAAGTATCTCACATCAACAGAAAGTATTATCTGAAGCAGCTTTCAGGAATACAGTTTGTGTTGTTGCAATGTATGGGAAAAAGTTTATGTGAAACAATGGAAAAGAAACCACAAGTAGAAAAAAACAAATCACAGTACAGACAATTTGAAAAAATTGCCTTAAAGCATGTTTTCCAGAACAGCTTTTCAGTTATATATGTAAAAAATAATAATGCACTGGGGAAGGGGGCAGCTGGAAGGAAGGAAAACATGTCTACAGAAATACTAAGAATGTGAGCCACAGAATTTTAGGAATTCTCCCAAGAACTTGAAAAACAGTCGAAATGATAAAGTTTTCTCATATCTGGAGGTAGACACATAATGGATAAGTGTTGGTTAGGTATTAATAGCAAAACAAAGCCTTTGGGGGAAAAAAAATAAGCAAGTGGTCTTATAGTTCTTGTACTGTTTCTTATGTGCTTCATTGAAAATCCTTTTTCCATCTGCTGCAGGGCAAAGAACGAAGACACTTTTTAGTTTGTGATGTGAACTACCATTGCTCCATTTCCTGGAGCAATGAATTCCATTTTTTTCCTCACTCCTGAGCCGGGACTTAACGACAAGGAGGCAACTCCTGCTTCTGGCATCAAATCAGTAGCTCAGAGCCTGGCTGAGAGCAAGCATTGCCAATTGTCAGTTCTGTGACACAGCCTTTGGAAGAGCTGAGCGCTTCTCACAAGTTGCTGTCTGTCCTCAAATCTGACTTCTTCCACAAAGGGCAGGGTGCCTGGGTACCTTCAGGAGTCACTGATCCCTCTCAATCAGATCTGATTCTTTGAACTGGTTTGTGTTGGTTAAAAATACAGTGTGTACTCTGCTAAGAGACACTGCACTGTACACCAGGAAATGTATTCTTGAACAGTTCAGAGTAATTCTGGACACCAAGAACTGCTTGATGGGCAACTAAGCTACAGTTTGGGTGCAAGAGAGATAAAGAAACAGACATCTATGCGGTGATCTCTGTCTTTAAAAGAAACCTAAAGTACATTTACTAAGCAAAAGACTTATGTTCTCTTTATTGTCAGTCTAGAAGACAATTCAAAGTGTAATCTCTTATACTAACATGATGAAAAGCATTAGGATCTCTCCACCTAAATGCAATAACAACCATATAACACCTGCTTGAAAGTTGCCATTTTGTCCTCTGTCTTAAAAAATAATGGGAAAAAAAAAAAAATCAACACATCCATTTCCATTACTCAAATAGCAAAACAAATGAAATACCTTTTTAAAAATAATTCTGATTTTTAATAATGACTTTACAAAGTATTTCCTTTAAAATATAATACAAGTATCTATTTAATTTTTGATGATTTGTTAAACTTAGGTGAACTGTATGAGCTTGTAGGTCCCGACCCCGTAGGTCATTTCAGTATGTGCTTAAATCTGTGCAAGTGGTTCATCCATTTTAAGGAGTGCTACTCCATATACTTACGTGCTAAAGTATATCAGAGCAATCTAGCATGTTAGAATCTTATTTTTTTAATCACTGAAACATAAACCAGCACTCTACTTGCCATCTTAATAGATAGAGGCTCTAGAGACTCCATCATACTACACTACCTATGCATCCTATTATTTTTCAGCCTTTTAATGTTATCGCATAGAGATGTTCTTCAAGATGAAGTCTACTACTTTATTATAAGCAGTATTTCTGAGCATTTTTCATCATCTTTCACTCTGCTGTCTCTTCTTTATAAGGGTCTGTATTTACTGTTTTGGTGGCAGCGGCCTTATTAACAGAAAGCTTCTGGCATCATACTATGAATGCAGCACTGGGAGGAGAGGGGGGGTTGCCCTGCAAATTGCACTGAACTAAACCTCTAACTTTCTTCCAGGTACAATTTCAGAATCGGATATCATTGTACAAATCTTTATATTAATCTAGTTTAGTTGCCTGAGAAATCACAAGTTTTTGTGTTATTTTGATATGTATTTTAGCAGGTACTGTAGCACGTGGGAACCTGTGGGACAGGAGGAGGCAGTCCAGCAATGGTCATCCCCACTGATGATCTGCCAAAGCCCAGATCATAGATATAATAGATTTTGAAGGATGGTTGATGTATACAGATCCCTTAATAATGCTGTAGGGAAGGACAGTAGATAGAGTTTCTCAACTGCCCAGATACATAATTCTCAAATCTTGGCTGTTTTTATTTGTTTTACCCAAGCAAAGCTTCCCTTGACTTAACTTAGCTTGAGAAGGGATGCATCCACAAACATCCATCTTTAATCCATACACATGTTGATCATGCAGTCAAAAGCACATGGTGCCCATATTTGCAACACACAGAGCTCATGAACTCCACAGACAACAAAGAGAAAAGCAGCTAAAAATACCCTTGCATGGATTTACCTACTACACTCAGCCTTGTTTGCATCTGGTATTTCAACCCTTCTGTGATGCTGTTACATAAAGCACCAGGGGAAATAACATCACAGAGAATCAAACAGTGGGCTGGGAGCTGAAGGACTGCAGATGGCAGGGTCAGGCATCACATGAAGTGAGATGATATGTAAGTCAGGATGTTATGCAGGTGTAAAACTGATGTCAATGAAAGAAAATTGGGCACTGAGTCCAAAAGGCTGAGTATTGGCACAACCAGCATCAACAGGGGTTCTAGCTTCAGTGAAGCCAGAAGCGAGTTTCACTCCTGGAGGTCAGCAAACACACACCAAATTCTATTTGGAAAACAAAACAAAAAACAGCTGAAGAAATTATGACTGGTTTCCTGCATTTGATGGGACCATGCATTTGACACCCCCAACGCATGCATGTCTCCCTCAGCAATGAATCACCAAGAGAAAAAGTGACCACTGCTACCTCAGAACATTGTTTTGAAACATAACAGTTAATGATATGCCACATTTTTATCAGGGCCATATTCTGAGTGCAGTGTGGCATATGAGAGGTGCATAAATGGATGAAGCCAAACACCCATTTCCTATTACTATTAGTATTTACTTTAGTCTCACTCTAAAATCCATCTCACTCCAGGCCCCTTCTACCTAAAACCCCCACTCCACCTCTGCAGCCCACTTATCACTGGGTCCTTTTTGGCTACAAAACCCTGCCAGCATTAATTAGTGCAGCCACTGACCCAAAGCAGGGCTGGCAGCTGCGTTCTCCATTTCCTGCCCAGGCATCTGCTGCCTTGATTGGAGGAAAATAGTTATTAAACCTTCTTCAAAACAGGAAACTTCTCTTGTCCCTGCTTCCTGAGGTACAGGAACAGTCTCCACAGCAACCCCTGGACAAAGAGAGCTATTAACCACTGGGGTGCCACAGCAGTATAGTGGGAGGTCATATTTCAAGCCATAATCCTACCCTAAAGGATTGAATGCACCTCTCTGCACACCATTGCTCCCACCAAACCTACATCCACACCACTGCTTCCTTAAATGGTCTGGAAGTTAATTAGCAGATGATAATTCTATCCACTGGAAGCTCTTGTAAACACTTCTCAGTCTGAGTAAATTTTGATCCTGTGTCAGTATCAGAAGATTGTTTCAGAGGCTGCTGTCTTTCCATCTTGGAAGGGTGACTGAGAAATTCAACACTGTCACCTCCACAGGCGTTATCAGGGTCTATCTTAACATTATGCAGTCTTTTTTTAAAACAAACAAGTACATCTTGTGCTTTGCTCATTGAGTATTTTTGTTCTCATGACCAGGCCTCCTTGAGAAGCTTAATGTGGACATTTCTGAAAGTCATTTGTAGCGCCAGTGCTGTCCATCGCAGTCCTGGAGAAGACCACACACTTACATTTGTGAGTTGGCACGTGTGAAGGACCACTGCTGGAGGAGCCCAGTTGAAATGAGCATTAACTTCAGCAAATTCAGCTTTCAAGTTCAAATCTGGTGGGTTCTCTTAAAAGCACATACACCTCATCTGTAACTGACAGGACTAAAGTGTACCTCACAATAAAAACAAGTGTGATAGCTGAGAATCATAAACAGTGCTAAATCCTTGTTCTTATTTTTTGTTTTGGACACAAATTCCACCTCCAAGGTACCATATCACAGCAAATGCAAAGCCACAGAAATGTCCCTCTCTGCTTCACCCATAGAACTGATCATTTGGATATGAGTATTTTTTTTCCACTGTTCAGGCTTTAAGGAAAAAAATAGTAGGATACAGTGACATTCAGGAGTTATCACTTCCTCTGCATTCCACTCCTTTCTCACCAGTTACTGAAAGCAGAATGCTGAATGGGAGAATTCCTTGTACTGTTGTTTCCCCACCAGCAAGCTACTGCGTCGATCCCAGAATGGCTGCCTTCAAAACCTAGGCTAATTATTTCCTAAATGTCTGTATAGACAACGATCTGCCATGTTGCTGACTACAGAGAGAAGCTGTTATGTACATTTTTGTCTTACGTACAGCTTATGTCTGCTATTCTGACCCGAATGCCTTTGCCAGTAGTGAGTAGAGGAGCTGTGTAGCAGAAGAGTCTCTAATTAAACTTCCTGTAATTTTCATATACACAGAAGCAAACAAAATAAAAAGATACATATATTTCAAGAGGAAAAGCAAAGCCTGTTGAGACAGGCAATTTATTTTGTTAGTTTGACCAACCTGGATCGAAATAGTAAGTAAGTTATAAATGTAAGGAGGAAAAAAAAAAATGGGACAAGACTGCTACTAAAGTACTTCCAGTTCAACACACTGTTCTTGGGGGAAAGGCCTAAACCTCTCCCTTAAATGTTGAGGTTATGCTGCACGGGGTGACGTAAAACTGGTGTGATCAGATTATGGAAACAGTTTTTCACAACTGCTCAAGTTATAGGATGAACTCCTTGTCATACATATACCCTCTGAAGAAAGCTTTGCTGGGACCTAAAACTGGGATGAATAAAGTCTGAAATACCAAAAATTTCATTTTAATCTTATACTAAGATTTATACTAAGTCTTATACTAAGATAAGCATTTCCCTCTCTTGCAGACAGCGAAGACTTTCTTTTATTGTTCCAGGCCAAACAGTTCCCAGCTGCTGGGTTATTACTGCATAGCTTGGCTGCATTCAGACGTTCATCAAGTAGAAGCACATGTGAGGAAGGGTGTGAGAAATTCCCACAATGCTAACTCACTTCTCACTGAACCAGGCAATCAACTTTTTCAGCTTGCTCTTGAGCACTTGTATTTATGGTAGGAAACCCCACCAACACTGATTTTAGTTTGCCAGGTAAGTAATACAGGATGCATGAAAGCGTTATGGAGCCAACACGTTCCTGACAAGACCATATCTGAGCATCAGCACGGAAATCTTTCCATTCTACCTGGCGTAGCTTTGCTTCTAGCAAGCCATTTCTGAAGCATTTCACTTGTTCAAGGATGAGAATATCCGACACGTTCTCACCATAGTTCAGGAGTCCCAGTTACCGTAAGACCACACACAAGGTTTTGAAAGATCTCCAAAGACTCAATTCTGTCATCCCTGTACAGTCATCTGTCAAAAGTGCACCTAAATAGTTGGTACACTGCACAGAGAACCAAAGGGTGAATTAGAAGGGACTGCCCAAGATTAGGTTGGAATGTCTACATAGGACTGGTGACATAGGATCAATCTGCCTTCTAGGTGAGACCCAAGGGTTTTGGCAGTAACAGCAGATGGGAAGAACAAAAAACTGACAAACTCATATTCCTTCTTTCATTCTTAATTTTGGCACCAGGTCCAGACCTCACGAGGATTTCTGCTGAAAGTATTTGAGTAGTTCACTTCTTCAGAGCACACGTTTGTTATTCTATAGATATAATTACCATATAAATAATATTTCTGAATGAATGAGCCTTCAGTAATACCTTTTAAAAATATTTAGCACTCCTAGGGGGAAAAAACTCTACACAAAATAAAGAAGTGTATGTACAGTGCTTTTTGTCAAAGTAAAGCAAGAATGTTCTGCTCAATTTCTTTTCAAAAATTAAGCCCTGGTACTAACGAAACTTGGCTTCTCGTGAAGAGCAACTCTGATGCAAATTTAAGTCAGAGATAATGCAAAGTCTGATTTTAGAGCTTTTCCTTGCAGCTGGGTTGTTAACCAAGAAACATTCTGAATTCAGTGCTGTTTGATAGAGTCGGCGTAGACTGCAACTTCTGCCATACCATTTCCTTCTGTCTCATCCACATGCCAATTCCAACCTCACATCTTTAGTGACAAACAATCAGAGGAAAGTGCCGCTGAAGCAATTTTAGTATGAAGGACTCAGGCGATAAGATACAATAATTGCATATAGTGGGCAATAGTATTTATGACAGCTCTAAAGTTGAGTCAGAAAACTCACAAACCACTTTTGATCCAAGCAGAGAAAAAGAAGGGCACAATTTATTCAAGTGACACCATTAGAAGCCATTTAACTTTTCAGTGTTTTGATTTATAAGGAGAGGCATGACACACTAACACCTCATTACTGAGAACTCCTACAAAGCAGTTGGGATCTCCCTACTCCCTCTTCTCATACATTCATTAGATTATTTCCAATTATGGAGACAGCATCATCACTGTCTCTATCCCCTCCTCTCAGTGCACAACCAGGAAACTCCCGTGCATTCCCAATCATTCCTGCCCTGCACCATTTTGCACTGTCACATTTGAAAAGTCATTGCAGTCAAGCAAAGTCATTGGTGATTGGAAAAAAGGAAAGCACTCTTTTTTAAGGGAGAAAGGAAGAGCTCGGGAACTACAGGCCTGTATTACTCAGTTTTGGAACCTGCACGTGCTCTGCAGACAGTGCGTTCAGCACCGGCAATCCAAAAGAATCTGCAGTCTGTTCCTTCAATGAACAGCACCGCTCGCTCATCCAGCCGCGAGTTCTCACCGAACGGAACCCAACTCCTCCAGCGGGCCGTGACTGAACGCTGCTGCCCCCTGCGGGAGCAAAAACCCAATATAGCGCAACAGGCACTGCAGGGCGCAGCTGCCGCCCGGTGATTAAAGCAGCAGAAGGTAACGCAGACTCTCTTCGTGCCTCACTGCCACGCACGCGCCGTGCAGGAACGGCAGCAACGACTTGGCGCCCTCGACCTCCTTCACAGAAGCAGAACAACTCGGAAAAGACACGAGAGTGGCGCCAACGGCACAGTTCCGCCGGAGCGGCGCCTCGTTTCTCTAACCGCACTGCGCTGCGAATGCGCCACGCCTGCGGCCTCCGGCAGAACCACGCACGCATCCGAACGTGTAAAGAACTACGCCTGCTCTAACGGCTCAGATTAAGGCGAGGACTGTTGTATCGCACCGACAGCTCCCAGCGCTGCTCGCTCTTCCACTGCCCGCTGGCTGTCGCCTCGGTCATCGCACCCCCACGCCACAACGCCCTATTTCGGCTCCAGCTGCCCCGCAGCGCGGCCGGCTCAGGGCCGAAGCGAAGCGCCCGGTGCCCGCCCCGCATCCACGCACGCGCTGCAAACGTTGCGGCCCTCGGTGCTGCCGCCACCTGTAGCGGCCCGGTACTGCAGGCCGGTGAGTATAAAGTGGACCCCGCGCAACTGCCACGGGGGAAGGAACACGACTTCGTTGCGTGCCTCTACGTACCTGCGTGCTGCACAGCGACGAAAAAACACCTTTTCCTCCGTGCCCTGGAACCAAAATTTGCTGACCAGCTGCTGGGTGCCCAGAGAGGTAACAGCAGTCTCCGCATCAGTTTGTACACCCACTTTGTGTGATGGCGCCACAAAGGGCACCCAGAGGTTCTCAGTGCACCCTAGGATGCCCTACAGTCGCTCAGGGAGCAGCACCTGATGTGGCACACTGAGGTGTGCTTGGGCTACAGTATGGTACACTGGAAAACCTATAGGGCACTCCAGAGCACACTGTGGCATTCATAGAATATTGTGGGAAGCCCTGTATTTCACTTTGGTGTCCTTGGAAGCCTCTAGGATACAGTGGGAAGCACGGGAAGAACAGCAGGGGGCATGACAGGCTCTGGGAGCCCATTAATGTTCCCTAAAGCACATTGGATGGCTCAGGGAGGTCTCTGGTGCACACTGTGTATCCTTTAGCATGATTCTGGGAGCTTTGGAAGCATGTTATGATGGTGCCAAATACAGAAGGACACACTGGGAAACCAGTAAAGAACCCTAGAGCACACCAAGGAGCTGAGGGGTCTCTAGTGTGCTCTGAGATGTGTCTAGGATGCCTCCCTAAAGCCTGCTCAATATCTCAGGGATATGTTTAGGTGTCTCTAGAGCTGACTGTGAGGCCCCACAAAACCTCTGGGGCACATTAGAGAGCACTGAGTCCCAGGGGAGCGTTCTAGGGCACCTGTGCCTACGCTCTGGGCTTGACTACATGCTCCATGGCATCTGAGAGGCCCACACCAGTGCAGTCTGGAACCCAAGGCTATGCACTGGAATTGCCTGTATGCTTTACTGCACCCTTGATGCATGTATTTGTGAGGTCCTAGAACTGGTTATCCCAGAACATTACCTCCAACCCCTTTCTGCTTCCACTGTATTTAATTGTGATGAGGGGCAGAAGCACCACCACACTTAAGCCAGGCTGCAGGGCCCTCATGTTCAACAAGGTGCTCCAATTACTACAAATGTAACTTCAAGGTCATCCAGAGCAGCACCCCCACAGAAATGACCAAGACCATCTACAGCCTCAGTCAAATTTTGATATCATGCATAGTAAGAAAACAGCCACATCCAAAAATGGAGAGAAAAAGAGACCAACCTGAGAGCCAAGGTGCCATTAATCACTCTGCAAATTCTCCATCATTATGAACAGAACTATCACATGTGTTTTCAGCAAAATCAGTTAATTTTTGGCATTTTTAAAATACAATAAATGTACTTGTAAAAAAAAAAGTTTAAAATATAAGTAAATGACAGGCTGATAAAGTATCAGAACTGCCCTGTGCTTTCTGCTAATATGCTTTTATTATGATTAAATTTGCCTGGTAGTTTGATTTGAGTGCATGAATATTTAAAGAAACATCACTTATAAAAGTGACACTTATAAAAGAGACAGTCAATCATTATGTACATGGATATTTGTAAACAATTTACAAAGTCTTCCTGGTTAACATCTGGACAGCTCAATGCAAGGGAAATAGCATTACAACAAAGGTACGACAGCAGGAGGACCAGCACAATAGAAAGGCACTACAAAGAAAGAGAAGAAGATTGCTCACCTTGTCAGAAGATTCAGGGTTCATAGTGAAAAGATTGGCACAGAGGAGATCTCCAGGTAGAGACCTTTCTCCACCAGCAGTCAGCCCTTAAATGAGCTCTAAAAGAGGTGCAGCCAGGCTCCACCCCCTCCTGTCACACAGGTGAATTGTCTTCACCTGTGCTCTCAGGAAGAGCCGAACATCCAAGGTTGTGGTGCGCCCCCCAGCGCATCGGCGAAGCCCTTTCCGCAGTCTCTGCTGCCACCGCGTGGCCAATCTGCGGAACTGCATCTGTCTCAGGTGCCGAGGCGGCAAAACGCAGAATGCGGAAGACGCTTGCCTACTTTCTCATAACTTTGTTCTGCAAATCCGCCTGTATTTATTATGCTTGTTGCTCAGACAGTAGTGTGCATGCGCCCGAAAAAGTGTGAACGGAGCCACTTTCTAGGAAGCATGGAGATATGGGTGAGAAATCAGTATTTGGACAGAAGGCTCAGTGATATTCTCCACCCTTCCAACCCAGAATGCTCCTTGTCTGTTCCCTCAGGCAGTTATATGCCCGACACCAACCCAGGAACAGACAATTTTTACTCCCAATGGACACTGCGCCGCTTGCACATGTAATAAGAAAAAAGCACATGTGTAGTTGTATACCCAAAAGTGCACATATATAACGATGCTACACATTGGTGTGTGTGTAGTGCAGTGTTCAAACAGGTGCATGCATAGGACAGTGCAGAGACAGGCACATGCGTAATGCACTACCTGGCATTGTGCAGGCGTAATACTACATTAAGATACGGACATGCGTAGTGCGTTCTCAAGACTGGCACATGCGTATAGCAGTGACAAGCCTTGCTCATGTGTAGTGCTGTCCCAAGAATGACACATGCGTAGTGCAGCCCATAGCATGGCGCATGCGTATTTCACTCCAAGAAATCACACATGCATAAAGCTCCATAGAGGCGGGTGCATGCGAATTGCAGTGCAGGTTCTAGCGCATGCATAATACTGCATAGAAACCGGTGCGTGTGTAGTGCAGTGCGTAGCATGGTGCATGCATAGTGCCGTGTTGAGACCGACACTGGTGTAATGTAGTGCTGAGATTCATGCATGCATAGTGCTAATCCCTGCATTGCGCATGTGTAATTCTTCATAGAGTGGAGCACATGTGTAATACTGAATAGAGAATAGCGCAGGCGTACAGCTCTCTCAAGTCTGGCGCATGCACCGTGTGTTCTCGAGAGTGGTGCATGCATACTGCTGTGCCCGGCCCAGCTCGTGCGTAATGTTGCTTCAAGCCTGGCGCACGTGCAGAGCTTTCTCGAGACTGGCGCGTGCTGCCTGGACCGTCTCTTTACCACTGCCAGTTTTTCCCCCATGCATACAGATGCAGGATGACTACGTCATCGCTTGCAAGGAGACCAAGAAGATGCGATCCTCGCCGTTTGGGTTATGTTTTGGCTTTTGGGACGTTTTGGAGATTTTTGGCAATCTGGAGGTATGTCAGGGTTATGATGCCGAGGTCTGTTGCGATGGGTTGTGCTGCTTTTTGAGGTGAACTTGGGGCATTTTGGGTATTTCTTTTCATGGGTGAGGGGCTGTAGGGATTCCTTAGTGGCACCCCAAAGTCCCCAAAATCACAACATTCTGGCCCAAAACACACCCCGTAGTGCCCTAAAGGACTCCAAACTCAGTGCAGTACCCACAGGAACTCCAGACTCATTGCATAGGGACCTAAAGAGTCCCCGTGACCTCAGACTCACCCTAATGGGCCCCACAGTGAACCATAGGGATCCCAGAGACCCAAACCCACCCCATAGGATCCCAGATTGACCCACAGGCCCTGTAGAGTGCTCTTGGGGAGCCCAGACCCATGACAAAGGACCATAGAGCGACCCGTAGTATCCCAGACCCACACCACAAAACTATAGAGCGTTCCTCTGCACCCCACACTGCCCCACAGGACTTGGAAATGCCACTGGAAGATGACAGAATCCCCCTAATTGGCCCCAAAATGCCATGTGGGGAACACGAAGAGGTCCCAAAGTGCCCTTAACAACCTCAAATCCATCTGAATGACCCCAAATGTGAGAGGTAGATTGTGTTTTTGCCATGGAAATTTCCAGTATCTGTGTATGTAGCATAGGATAAGTTGCCTCTCACAAAGAAAGTCACCGGTGTGAAGTTGAGACTGAGGTATTCCGACCCAAGTAAAATTGGCACAGGCACCAGATAATTATATAGGGTTGGGGAGAGTCTGGTACGGGACAGAACTGGCACACAGATAGTTGAAAATACTGTCCTCCTATCGCCATAAAAAGCAAAGAACATACCCAAAGACAATGGGTTGTAACAGACGTTTTATGGAAGGATAATGTAGCTATGGAAGCATAATGTAGCAACGGCGTCAGAAGACTGTTGAGCCTGAGATGCTCAACCAATGAGTGCTAGGAGAGGTTTTACCTGCATTGGACTCATGGTATGTAACAGAATGGATTTCACTGACTAGTTGCACAGTTTCTCCCTTGTCAGCAGGGGGTGTGCGCCCATTGTTGCAATCATGAATAAAATGCCCTTCACAGAGATTTTGCCTGATTGGAAACTTTTGATCTTGAGTGTGTTTCTCACACCAATCACCCCCTGGACCCTATTCCCTTCAAGGGCCCAAAAGAGTGGTGCTGAGTGGTTCCATCCATTGCTTTATTGGGAATACATTATGTTTGAAAGCAGGTGGAGGATGTGCAGCAGCTCATCCATCTAAGGGCCCTGTGGGGTCAGAGGTCAGCGAGCGGGGCTGAAGGTCAGAGGCATGGTCAGAGCGATGGGGACCGTGTCAGAGGCCAGCAGAAGGGGCTACCAAGGCAGGGTCTCCCAGCTCCGCTTCCTCATCATTGCTGTCCCTGCAGCCAATCACCTCTCCCCACAGCACCTCCTACCAGCAGCTGGGAATGCGGGACTCAGTGCTGACTATGTCCGCTCACACTGACCCCGCTCTCCCTCAGCCCTGCTCGCTCACCCTGGTGTATGGAACTGCTGGGTCACAGCCTGAACCTCTGATTGAGCACCTGAAGCGAGCACTGAGTCAGCCAGAGGAGCACAGGTGAAGGCAATTCAGCCATGCTGCAGGAAGGGGGGAGCCTGGCTGCACCCCTCCTAGACCTATTTAAGAGCTGGCTGCCGGTGGGGAAGGTTCTCTGCTGGAGATCAGCTCTGCTGGAGTTTTGTGAGTGAGCCCAGGATAGGGGTAAGCCTTCTATTTATTCTCTTTTGTTATCATAGTCTGCTTTACCTAACTCTCTTGCTTATTTTGTGATTATGACAGCCTAATATTCTTTGATTATACACTTAGTGAGCCAGGCAGGCCAAATATGCTAAAATTTACATCATGTCTTTTCTTTGGGATTTCTATAAATGAGTCAAGGGGGAGAACAATACTCCTCTAGAGAAAATGATTCCAGAGCAGATCCCAGGATTTGTGGGATCCCCCTATTATGAGCTAGCAGTTATCATTGAAAAATGGGGTCCCTTATGTGTTTTGGGCAATATTTCCATATATCACATGGCGGATTACTTTCAGGGACTTAGCAAGGATGTTCTCATAACTAAAGAAAGACAACTGGCTGCCTCCACGGTGGCATGGCCACTATTAAGTGCCTTAAATCATGTGGAAATAAGAAATAGTACTTTTGAAAATGAAAATCAACTTTTGAAAGATAGTATTGAAAAACTAGAGCAAGAACTTGGTGTATTAACAGCGAAGAAGCCAATTCTACATCTTCCCATAGGCCAAGTTTGTAACATTTCAATAAACAATGAGCAGACTCCTGAATCAACAAACTTCGTTGATCAGGAAAATAAACAATCTAAATTAGATCTTGAATATTCAGTTCTGACTGATCCTCTAGAAGTCTGTCCTGTCGTAACCCAGGGGTGCTGCCTGATCAGTGCCCCCTGCCCAGACTCATTGACATGTGGCAGCCCGGCCATACACAGCAACAGCATTGATGGACTTAGTACAGCGATTTCGGCAGAAGCCTGGAGGAAGTGTGCTGGCTTCGTTATTAAGGCTGTGGGATTCTGGTGCAGAAAGTGTCTTGGTGAATGGCCCAGAAATAGCCAAATTGGCCACCATGGCTGTCCATCCTGCTCTCAGACAGAGGTTATATGCGGGTAATCAATACCTTGATGAAAGCCATTCTATACTAGAATGGTTAATGGTGGCCTGCTGTATGGTATGGCCGAATAAATCAGACATACCTTTACGTACAGGCTTGTGGTCCTCCATGGAGGACCTCCAGAATTATATCTGTGAACTGGGTGTAAGAGAGGCTATCTATGAAGACACATTTGATGGCCCTGATATAGTTAAATTTTCAGCAGGGATGAGAGACTTGATTTTACAGCAAGCTCCCTGCCTTCTCTATGGTACCCTAGTCTCTATATTAAATCCCCTGGTGGCCTCAGAAGCCGTAGTCCAGCAGGCTGCCCAGTTAGTGGCCGACTTGGGAGAAACAGAACGTCTGCAGACTAGGTGCAATGTTTGGATGTTGGAAGAAGCAGAGGTTCTGCCAGTAAGTAAAACCAAAATGCCGGCTACTTGAGCTCCTCAGTTGGGACCCATAAGGGTATCCCAAAAACTAATGTTTAATGATTTAATTCGGGCTGGGGTCCAATTTGCTAAGATCGACCGCCAGCCCAACCATGTCCTTCTCCAGCTCTGGAGACAACTAAAGGACAATCAAAAATTCCAGAACTACCCTAAGAAATCAAGGGTGAGGGTTATAGAGAGGGTACCAACAACAACATGGAACCTAGAAGATTTCATTGATCCAAATAGGAAAAAAAAAGCCGCCTCAGGTGTCTCAGGCCACAATACCTGAGCCACTGGAAGCAAAAGAATTGGCCATAGCACAATTCATGGCGTGACAAGGGATGTTAGTCCCCGTAGGGCCTCCAGATGGGACCAGAGGCCCTATGTAGAATTAATGATTTATTGGTCCTGAAAAAATATTCAGAGTGTTATGGCATTAGTGGATACTGGAGCTGAAACATCAATT